TTTGGGAATAAAATACTGGCGGGGGAGAGAATAGATAAAATACATGGAACAGGTTAGACAATGTAATACGACGGAGTATCTTTTATCGCGTCGACCCCAACCAGATACCCGGAAGCCACAGACCAGTGGTAAGGAGCGAGAGAGAGTGTTTCTGAGACGTCTCGAGAGCCGTCCAAGGGAAAAGATTAAGTGCGGGACGTGGGTCGGCAGTGATAGACTGACTAATCCGTGAACTTAGACTCTAGTAGCGAGTTTAGGGTGACAGGAGATAAGAGAATGGGAGAGAAAATGACAATGGAGATACACTGATCTGGATATTTAACAAAAAATATATCACTCGACTCGGATAAATGGAAGAAAATACATTCGAAATGTCAATGCCTATGTGTCCGGCATTTCACAAAATGACGTGAAATTAGCTGCGCTCTTCGTCGACTCACATGCCAAGTGATCCACCGTTCAGGGTAATATAAGTGGATACATCTTGCACACAGAAAATATCACGCAATGTTGATAATTGAATGCAGCCCCCTTAAACCATTCCTAACCCCGAAATAACAGAAATAAAAAGAATCCCGAGATATCGTTTCATGCGCAGATTTCATTTCACGATACACAGGAGATGCCCCGTGAGAAAATTAATGTCTACTGGCTCTCCTCCATCCACACATGTACACGAGATGAGAATTGAGTAAAAGGGGTGATAGCACAGAGGGGGTGAGGGGGGTAGAGATTGAAGCGCAAAAAAGTTGGATAAAAATCCCGGGGGCCAGGAGAGTAGATATCCCCATGCACGTCATCCACAAACGACGTCGCCTCGGCTATGCCAGATGCTTCTCTTTGTGTCCCTCTTTTCCTCCGCATTCCGCCCCACCACCGTCTCCACTGGGCGTGTCGTCAATCTCGTTCCCCCACCAGGTGACCGTAAATTTCCCCTCAATCTCCTGGAATCGATCCCCCACCACTCGGGCTCGGTCTCCCCACTCTCGCGGTAACATCTCGTGCGACAAAATAGTGGGGTCTCCTTTACTGGCAATACCGCCAAGAGGTAGACGATATTATTCGAAGGGGCTTGGGGAGTCAACCCAGAGTTTTTGTCGTCTGGCTGTTGGCTCACCCTCTTCCCCCCGCCAACTCCACGCCTTCCACGACGTCTCATTGGCCAGTGCTACACGGCTGTCCCCAGGTCTACCCAGGGACACACGCCCATTTTCAACGTTGCAAGTTGTTCATGCACGAGGGTTTCGTTAATTAATTTTATATTTCCAGAGGGGGGGGGTTCTGGGCTAGAAAATCTGG